AATTTCCGTAGTCCTCCACTACGGTGTCTCTCATATTCATATATGATAGTTTTGGGACATTATACCCCACATATCAATCATATTACCCTTAAATCAATTCATCATTTTTTAACCTTGAAAAGCTTGTTATGTCGGCTTATATGCTCTGAGTATAGTAAACTTTAAAATGTTACATTTTTTGGCAGATTATTCCTTGCATTCTACAGAAAATCAAATTCTGCTATTACTCAAAGTTGTTTCGACCTCCTTTTGAACAAAAAACATGGCATTTGCTCAGAGGCTTTATTTCAATTTTAAAAAGATTGGTTATGATAAATATGCCCATTTTTCTTTATATGTCATATATACTATTTGAATACGCTTCAAAATTATTCAACCAGGATCACTATTCGCTTCGAACCTTCATTATTCGTACAAGCCTAGTGTTATGTATTTCATCTGGACCACTACTTTTCTTTTCAAGATCCAAGAGCAGTGAAAAAATGTTGGTTGCAGTAATAATTAATGACGGAAGTGATCTGTCTTGGCCAACATGACGAGAACCTGCTATAATCTTTAGACTGCTATTAGTGCTGAAAACTGAGTTGAAATACGAAGTAATAAAACTATTCACCTTTATCTTGCCCTCTTAAGCAGGAAACATGGATAGTGTCATCTGTTTCGCACTTATGTAGTACCAGAATTTATCGGGCATGCTTTAGATAAAACTTTTGTCGAGCATGTCCATATGTGTCGTTCCGTTCCTCAAAACTTGCCTTTTAGTGTAGGTTTTAACGATGATATTTGTGAGGTAGTGCTTCCGGAATGTCCAGCACAGCCACAGCGAAAGCTGCACGAGCAGCCTTTCTAGAGCCTCTACATGCGGAGCATTTTATAGTTGCACCACAGAACACCTACCACTTTGTTGCACCTACTCGCAAATCCGTCATCAAGGGTGTCATCTATACCCCCCCTGCGCATGCTCTCGTCTCGTGCCAACTGTCCCTTCTCCCCCTCTCTCACCTCGCAAGGCCAACGCAGGCAGTGTCTGCTAGTAAAAACCCACTGCTCACGCTGCACAACTGTTCACTGGCCACCCCGTATATGTAGACACTAGATAGCGCGTTTGGAATTCAGTTAAGAGTGTCTTCACTTGGCTTTCGCTTGACTTGACACTTTTCTCGACTCGAGTAGATGTGATGGAAGCAACAGGGCATAACCCAACATCAGTGCCCCACCACTCGTTGGAGGCAACGCTTTTCCTTCATTCAATAAATAAGAATAAAATAAAGATGAAATAACAATTAAGCATTCCCAAACCATACCCAACTATGCAACAGTCACGTGAGACCACCCACCCACTCTGCGACGCATTTACTGGAGTTCCCCCATAGAAAGATGCGGGCAGCATTTTTTTTTAAACACTCTTGGGGTAACTACTACAAGCACACTTGCATGGTAGCCACTACACCATAAATCATCATAAATTTAGTGAAGTGAGGAAGCATCCACTATATAATTCGTAATTCTTTACAAAAGGGTGGTACCCACTACACTGCACACTCCAACACTTTGTTGATGCTGTGGCTACAGTGTTCTAGTACACTCTACTATGGCTGACGACGGTGAAGAATTATGCCTGGGTTGGAGCATCCAACGACCCATTTATTACGCAATTCGTGTTGTGTGACACCAGATTGTTAATCTACTGTTCTAAAATACTTTACTACACATATTAACACAATTTGTTACCCAACAAGAAGCCTGGAGAGGATCAGTTTGCAATGAAGTTTCAAGCTCAAGGGTAGAGTATTGGGCTGCCATGCAGAGGGACTTGGTTCGATTCCCATGATGTGTGCATGACATAACTTTGTTTCCCCATCCCATCTCTCTTTGGTTAGTTTCCAGGACGCTCGTCGGGATGTGAGAGTAGAGAGAAAGCAAGTACAGAGTGTGACAAATCTCAAACTCGACCCATACTTGACGCATTCTTACAATTCTTGCGGCAAACGATTTATGAGTCAATGAATTTCCTTGTCAGTCAATTCAATGGGTACTTTGAAAAAGGGTCGCAGGGCTCCATTAGTGTACCTTCATGATGACATTCAAAAAAAGTAAAATGGTTGAGAAAGCAAGGACTTGTTTCATGCTGTCTTTTTGTAACTATTTTGCTTCACATATGCATATACGGCACAATATTTACACCTTTTAGTGATACAGCCCATAAGTAGCTCCCTGTTGATGCATTTATTTATTTTTTCAAACAAACCTTTGTGCTTGTAGCGTACAGTTTAAACCACACTTGCCAGGAGCGGTCGAACACGTGGCTGCAGATGCTGGCATCGTCTACAGTTGCTACCTCACATTAGCTACAAGCTTCCATCCATGCTTAAGTATAAGCACAAGAACCCAGCAAGTGCCATGGCTATGAGCAACATGATTATGTTTGGTAACATTTAGCCTTAGAAACGGCAATTGCAGCAGCTGGCTGGCTGCTCTCAGCAAGAGCAATTCTAACATTACAAGAAGTTTCTTGCCAGCATATACACTGGCATTAAACTGTAAGCACATCAAATCATTGTTTTTGATTAGCATGCACCCATTTCGAGTGTTAATAGTGTCTAGGTAAAAAAAAAGCTGCCTAACATGTGAAGCGTCTTGGGCATACCTTATTGACCCAACTTATTACTAGTGGTACTACAGATGGAATGCACCTGTTGCTGCTTGAAAAATGAGGCTTCATCAGATTGCTAAGAGGCCCTTTAGCATTCCTGTTCTTTTTTTTTAGCATTAGCATTCTTGCAAATGTTTTCCAGGACAACAAAGGTAGGATCTTCTTCTCAAGATAAAGCTGAATTCCCTCAATGGATCTAGCATATATAAGCAGCAGTGTTAGTTGTTGGAGGACACAAATGTGCTCCACCCTCCACCAGTCTCCCTTCCTTCTTGACTTGTCCACAGGTGTCAAGGTCCCTTACCAGGCTGTAAACTTTCCCAGCCCCAATAACTATCTGCATTTTAACTCGCATATGCAGCAGTCTGCTGGAATCAACCTTGTGTAAACTACCTAATTTTGACGAGAAAGCTACGCTGCTGTAATCGAGGGTTTAAAGCTGTTGTACTTGAATTAGGACTGTCAAAATGATAATGAAACCTAATATTTATTTATTGTTACAAAGTTGTAGCTTTCATTCTACACTAATGTCTCCTAAATCTTCTTAAATTATAGAGCTTAATGTACAAAAGCAACTCACATGCTAACACCACAGTTGGGCACTATAGTTAACAACTTTAAAACTTCACGACACTATCTCCGCAAAGTGGATGCAGACAGGCCTGCACCAATATGCATGCTCTTCAGGCTTATGTCATGGAGCAAACAGTGAATGACCCTTTTGGAAAATATTGCCCCATGCATGAGTGGGACTATCTGTTTAGGCGCAGAAGCAATTGGCTGCTGTGCTTTGGGCCACAGGTTGGCGAAAATTGTGGAGCTCATTCAAACTCACTCAAGCAATATATTTTGCACTTGGGGCTCACTCGGACTCACACGAAAAATCTTTTCAACCGGACTCAAACTCATCAAAATATTACTCAACCCGATTCATTCAGACAACACGGAATCATCTGAGTCTGAGTGAGTCCGAGTGAGCCAACTCACGAGTCCATTAGCCTAGAATTAGATTTTTTCACCATGGTGTTAATCTTGTTTAATACCAATATGTTGTATAATTGGCACTCTTCTTGGCACCTTTTTATATAGTACTTACGAGTGTGAGTTATGTGTGGTTGCAAACCCATAAAAATGTTTCATGAAAGAGATAGCGACATAAGATATACTTATCAAGAACTACCATAGAAGAGTTGACTGAAGGAATTAAGGCACCCTCTTCCCATGTAATTTACGCCCCTGATCAACAAAATATTGGATGGTGTATTATCAATGCCACTTTGGAATATGTGCAAGTAGACCTGAACAATAAACCGGAATCCAGGTAACGCTGATAGTAATGCTCAAGATGAGTGGACTGGACCTCAAGCCAATAAAACAAAAAAAATGTCAGACTCACTCACACTCATTTAAAAAATATATCATGCGTTTTGGTTTCGCTCGGACTCAGACTCATCAAAGATTTCCCGAGCCAGACTCACTCGAACTTATACACACCAAAATATTGCTCATCCAGACGCAGACGGATCTGAATCTGTGCGAGTTAGAGTGAGTTGACTTATGAGCGAGTTCATCTACCTATGCTTTGGACATCTGGGCTTCTCTCTGTAGTTCTAATCATACTGTAGTTTGGACAACTTTGAGTTTTTGAAAAAGTACATTAAAGCCTACAAGTGTTTTGGCCCACCACTTTCATGGGAAAAACAATGCAAACCAAGCAACTCATGTTTTGCAGCGCAACACCACCGCCACAGGGGAACCACTGTTGTCCTTACTTTGTGTCCATTTGTTCGTCTTTTTTCTGAAACAAGACTACAGCATGCTTCTGCTTTGTACTCATTTATATGGTTTCATATTTCAAAACAAGCTATAAAAGCAACACTGTGTAGGCTGTTGTATTTGAAAGAACAAATGCAGTGCGTAAGCTTAGAAAAGCCAGTTGCAGCTAATGCCTTTCCGTACTTTCTACCCAGGTTACATAAAGTTTCACTGCAAATTAAAAAAAATTATTACTCATTACATTCATCACAACAACCCTATTAAGAATTCCCTATATAATAAGCTTGTCTTGCTCGGCAGTATTGTGTACCTTCAAAAATATGGTACAGGTGCAATAAGAATGGCAGCTGAACCTCAATGAGAACAGACAATCAAGCCAAGAAAAGTAACGGCAATATGATTTGTAATAGATATGATACCAAGTGGAATAAATGAATAAGGACAAAAAGATCTGCCTAACAAAAAAAAATCCCTCCAATTTTTTGTTCGATTAACCTAGACTATTTTGTGAGCTCTGTGCGGTTTCATAACTATGACAAAAACAACTCACTAAAAAGACACCTCGAACATACCATTTGTTAACAAAGAAATATTTATTTTCTCAATGCACTTTCAATGTACATACAGGGTTATGGAAAATTGTAACATGATGAGAACAGAATGTCCATTGTACAAAACGTAGGTGCAAGCTTGAGAGATATGTTAAAAAAAAAATTAATATCTTCAAATGACACTGCTGCATAGACAGAGAACTTCAAATAAACTTGAATGACATTGCAATGATGCATGTACAGCCTACGATAAAAAAAGCTCAGCCCCAGTGGTTTGGCCTGCACGCCAACAAATCATCAAGAGTAGGTGCTCGCATAGATATGCTTAAGTTGTTGAAAAATGAAAATTCTGTGGCGATCATATCTTTGTATGCAAATGGCTCTGGAAGTTTCTCCTGAGCTTTGAAGTGCCTATTAGCCCACACTGTGACAGACACACTCTTAGGAAGGGGTACCGAAGCACGTTGTTTAGCAGCATACTTTTCAGCTTCTGCACGTGCTGCCAACTGAACTAATTCAGCCGAACTTAAGTGTGAAAACTTGCATGTTGTGCCATAATCACATGCACCCATTTGTTGAAACCTCCGGCACGGCTTCTTGACGGATTCGATCTGCACGGAAAAAAATACATTCCACGACATGAACTCTAGAAGCCACATCAGAGCACAAGAGAATTAAAACTGTTCACATAAAAAAAGACAATATCATGCTTCCTGGAGCTACACTAAACACTTGCAGCAAAGAACGCACAAGCTGCAAATATGATGGCACCACCCCTTTAATTAATTGCTAGGGTTCAATAATTGCTGGCAAGCAGTGCTAGCCCCGCTAGTGTGCAGAGTAGCTTAAGAGGGGGAAAAAAAAAACAGAGGCAGGGCTCAAGTCAAGATGATGTGCTCTTCCTCCACGTGAGAAAGCCATGAGATGAAGCTATGCTGCACGTTGATGCTGCCTATGGATGCTAGCTGAAGCAATGGGGGAGCGCAGAGCACCAGTTCTGGAAGTGATGCCAGCATCCTGAAGGCATGGTAACAGGACAGTTCCATTACTTTTACTTATCTAAACAACTGATGAGAAAAATGCTTTTGATAAAACAATCTCAAGACAGCACCCTACCCCTTCCAGTTATTAACTAAAATTTGCAGTCAGGCATGGTGAGAAGCCCCAACACCATTGTTTCATGAAATGAATAAGGACAATACATTGAACCGTAGTGGCTAACAGATTGTAGATAAGGAATCTACTTCAACATCGTGGGGTTCAACACAGGTGCAAGACCAATTTCTGATGTTCACTGTCCAATTAACTGAGGAACAACCAATTAAGTCCCAAAGAACTGCAACTATTGATGGCCTTGGTGGAAGCAGCAAAACACATGGAAAGATCAATTTATTGGGAATCTGTCCTGCTACTCTTTTGCTTTGAGCACCAGCTGAAAACGCAAGCTACAAAAGACCACTACCTAGCTCGTAACAACAATATAACAAAATTTCAGGCAAAACTTGCAGCGAGCCGAAGAAAGTGAGGACAGGACTATATGCTCTCTTTGTCCGCATCCTTCCTAGTGTGCTACAAGTTTCGCCATGCATCATTGCAAACAGCCCCATTCTTACACCCTTTCAAAATTTTAGGGCTGGTGTTTGCTTCTAAAAAATGTGCATCTTGTAAATGAAGGATGCATTTTGTAATCCAGCCTGTTTCGAGCAGAGATGCACGGCAACAAAATTACTGAAGGAAACTCCCTCTTCCAGAACTTAGTTCACAATAGCTCCTCGGTGTTTTAATTCTCTTTTTCCTTAAATGGTGCTTCCAGAATACAGTTAATTTCAAGTGTACATTAAAATGTTGCATACAGTAGCACACAAATGTGCACGTAAAGAACCTAGCTCAAGTGCTACCACGCAAATGAGCAGGTCTCCTTTCAGATCTAGAAACTTTGTTGAACACACAGAGAAAAAAGTACGCTACTTAAAGAAGTTACCAGGGCCTTTAAAGAGCACAAACGAAGTAAATACGTACGTAAGTTATGTTTCATCAATATTACCAACCAGATCTACGAGTGATCGGTGGGATAGCTTGGTGTGTTGAACAGACTTGGGTAGCTGCATTGAGACACCCAGCAGAGGTTGGAGTCTAAATCATCTCCCAACCTTGCCGGTGCATTAAGAGAACCGAAACAGGGCTGGCTAACGACTACCTGCCACAATACAAGCATTTAACGCATAAGATAATTAGGGAGCGCGATGCCAAGTACTTGACAGCGCTGCTCCCGTAATCTCATTCTATGTTCCTTACATGATGTTTTGTTTCAATTCCTTTGAAACGCCTGGGTTTCTACGCCACAGCAAAAGTGGCAGCGGGGGCCAAGACATAAGATATACGCTGACCCAACACGATAAAGCGAATATCACAAACCTTAAAGACCGTTTCAGCGTCACGAAATGCATCGTAGTGAATTCTCTTCATCCGCGTGTGAAACGCGCCTTGCAAATGCTTCTTGCGGTTGTTCGCACTGTCAGGGAATGTCTTATTGCAGTAGTCACAAAAGTAACGTTTTCCCATCTTCGTATTTACGGAGTTTAGGTCAAGCAAGGCGTTACCACCACGTCGCTTCTTGGAGCCTTCACACAACAGTTGCCGCAGGACAAGTAAAATTTAAAATAAAGCGTTAGTAGAACACAGAACAAAGAACAAAATATGCACTACGTAGGCACGCGCGTCGAAGCTATCGAAACCGAGTGACAGTAAAAGGGCCGGCTTTGCTGCTTCCTGGTGAACCGAGCGTTTTCAGAAGCGCTCCTTTCACCCATATAGCCGCTTAAATTCGACTTCACTTGACTTGAAGTGTAATTTTAGGTGGCGTTAAAAACATTTGGCTAGAAACAAGGTGGCTAGAAAACAGATAACAACTGGTAGGTGTTCTGTGCAGATACATACAAGGCAGCGTCTCCTGCGCCGCGTAAAAGCAGCTCGAGTTTTACGCATTAATTTTACAAAAACAAAGGTCGTCCGTTTAAATACAGCTACAATTTAGGTGCTTATTGAACTTACAGCGTCAGCAAAAAATAAAGTGTACTCATTTGTGATAAATGTTTGTGAACGTCAGCTGATAAGTCCACGGATATCATCATCATTTTTCGTATGGCGCGTGTATCGCGTGTGTGTGTGGTTCCTAAGCACGCGCAAAGAAAAGCGCGAATAAACTTTGGAACGGGGCCATGGCTCGCATGGACGACTTTGCTGAAAGAGTCGCTTCACTTTGCTACTTGGTATACGATGGCCTTCCAAAAACAGGAAAGCCTTCCAGAGATTGCGAGTGGACGCTGCTGTCTGCGTTGTTATTGCAGAACGTCAACCAAGGCATGTAGCAGTCTCTTAAGGATGCTGTATTTTTTACTGAATGCAGAAAAAGAATGCGTAAAGGTACCTTTTTGAACTTGCTTGAAGTCGGTCTTCTGCGTATAAGCTGCAGAACAGGTACGAGCATCCGCGAGCAACAGCTTGGCGCTGCAAAGTACCGCTTCTCTTTCTACTCCTATTGCATTTCTTTTTACAAGTACAGAGTGCAAAAACACTCAACGTCGAGGCGTTAAAAGGCAGACCTAAATGTGGATTTATAGCATAACATGACATTTAGATTTAAACCGATAATTAAAATGATCGGAGTTTTACGCCCCCAAACCACCATGTGATTATGAGGGACACAGTGTCTGAGTGATGTTGGCTGGCTTGCTTACATCTTCCTGGCTGCGGCGGCTGCAGTTTCGATGGAGGCGAAAATTCTGTAGGCCCATGTGCTCAGATTTGGGTGCACGTCAAAGAACCCCAGGTGGTCAAAAATTTCCGGAGCCCTCCACTACGGCGTCTCTCATAATCATATGGTAGTTTTGGAACGTTAAACCCCACATAACAGCTTACTTACATCTTGTCTTCTAGTAAATTATGCAGTTTACGTTATGTAGCATGGCTGCTGTCTAGTACCCTTACAGCAATTTATGTGTGCCCTACATTTTTTTATCGTGTTTATTTTCAGTCTGCTGCAGCAAAAAAAAAAAAAAAAAAAACAAGGTTATGTATTCTTGAGTGCAATCCTAATTCTTAATTTACGTGCAGTTACGATTATTTGAGGGGAAATTGCCGGTAAAAAAATTGGAAAGAGGTGAAGCATGTAGATAATGGGGTTTCAGCCACGTGAAACTCGGAGAAGTGCGGAGTGGGCAGTGTTTTGAGAGAGATTTCTTTGATAAGGCACTAGTGGGTGCCAAAACTGTAACCAGTCATGTATGTAGGGAAGGGTGTTTCCATTTCACTAACGGTTCCACATGCCCGGTTTCAGATCCCTGCGGCATGCAGGGAAGGGTGTTTCAGCTTTTCTAACACTGTCAGCTATTTTTTTGGCTAACCATTGCCTACATTTTTAGTGGACTGATGGCAAGTAGTGGGATTCACACAATTGTTGTGGTGCATACCCGTTTATAATTGACTGTGACTACGTGACACACCGTAATGACATTCGATGCCAACACGCCGAGACCCTAAGGTTCTTTGCACCGAGAATATACACTCCTTCTTTATTTATGAATGAAAGCAATAAGGAAGCAGTTTGTTTTGTAAAAATACAAACAAATTTCTTAAGCAAGTACCTAAAGACTTATAAAGATTGTGTGAAATGTTCAGGAGCTTTTTTGTGGTTTTTATTTGCATTGTAGTAGTCTACAATATTTATTGTTTTGTCTACATCTTTTGCTGAAACAGTGATTGTTTTAGTTAATCAAGTGGTCTCTTTTTCTCGTGTCTGTGCCTATATTACGTGCCCTTGTAGATGCATAGGTTTGTGCAGGTGTAGGCTTTGTGTGTAACACTGTTGCACACCCACTCAACATTATAGTATTCATGCGCATGTCAAAGGCAAAGAAAAAAAATATTGCATCGCAAATAATAAACATCTCATAAATTTGACTACTGTTGAGAGAGGCATTTACAGTGTCTTTGAAACATCAACTGCTGTAAAGTCTGTGCCTTGAAATGTAAAGCACTGATTGCATGATATTTGTACATTTTGGGCATTGCTTTGTCTCCTAAATCTCGAGTTTTTTTATGAGGTTGCAATTTTGGCCCTCACCATAAACGATTAACAGCCAGCTTGCTAGAGGTGCGACACCACGATCTAGAGCAGTTTGGTGTAAGAATTGTTCTGCATCAAGGTAATGCTATTTTTCTTTTTATGAGTGTTATACTGTTGACATACAGTAAAACTTCATAGGTGATGGCCATTTTGTTCCGGCCTTATCACATCTTTTTTCTATGTATTCGTCTCTTCCATGAGCACAGTCCTCATTTTAATGTTCACCATCATATCCCATGATTCTTTGTTGTCGCAACAAATATCTTTTTCTTGTGGCTTACTAGCATGGTACTCAGTTATCCAGTGTTAGGCTGAACTTTATTAAATGTACTGTAGCAGGATTGCATTGGGGAGATCTGCACAAATGCCCGACATTGTCATGGTTTTCTTCTTTTACACTGTGTGTACTTTTGTATAATAATACATAATAATTAGCTTTACTGTCTGGCATGCAGCACAGGTATACATCATATCTATCTTATATTCAAAGCTGTGGCATGGCCTGAAACATCTGCCTTTCTTAAACTCCGTAATGAAAGTTTTACTTTTCTCTTTTCATTCCTGTTTCCTTGTGGATGATATTCAGTTAACTGATGTAAAATAATAGAGTAACTACCAAAATATTAAACTGTCATAATTCAAGGTACTTTATGTAGTGCATTACTTTTATTGTGTATGAATAGCACAAGTTGGAAAACACTATAGAGCTCAGTGACTTACTAATGAGATAAATTTTACCCTTAGGCCTGTCATGAAATCAGGCTTACTAAATGTTTTCTCAGCTGCACTCACTCGGACTCAAACTCACCAAAATATTATTCACTTGGACTCAAACTCACTCACCCCCATATTCACAAATGCTCCTCGACTCGACTTGCACCCTTCACTTGACAAAGTTGAGCACTGCACCGCCGCTCGGCTGAAAATAACGCTGCGCTACTAAAAAATCGCAGCAGATTATGGCTGATATGCAGTGGCTTGTCGTGACTAGAGACGGCGCTCCCATCGGCTTTCTCAAGTGAAGGTGGAGCGTTGAGTGAAGGGACGTTCTAGAATACGGGGGTCAGACTCGCAGCTCGACCTCAGTCTGAGCGAGTCAACTCATTAGTGACATTGCCAACTTATGACGAATAGCATCGCTTAGATACCTTTATTTTGTATTTTTTCTATTAGTGTATCCTTCATCTCTGCCTGCTTAATGTATGGTCCCTACGCTTTCGGTCATATATTGTAGCTTTATTTCTTTGGGTTACTACTACCAGTGCTATCCCAGAGAAGTGTCTATGTATGAAAAGCAACACTATCTGTGCAACCAAAAATTTTCATACAGTAGAACAGCTATGTAAATAGAAGTTGCTTATACAGATCTGCAACTTCTTTAGAAGTGCCCTACCTCTCCTTGAGACACATTTTATCTCTGTCATTATTAAGTTTATAGAGCCTGGAGTAATTCCACTTGCATATGTCACTTTATCAATAAACACGCAGTATTTTAACTTGTATTTTCTCATAGCCCTACAAAAACAATCAATAGGGTTGTTTAAACACACTGCTAATGCCCCTACTAATCATTCAATTGCACTGCAATATAATCTTGTTTTTAAATTATTGTTTTCTTGTTCTTTGATCTTTTTGCATGGATTTTTGTTCCTGTTTACCTGGATAAATTTGATGTGGCTGTCTGTTTGCTCCATGCACAGAAATGCTGTGGTGTGAATTTTATGCTGATACAAAAGTATAAACAGCCAATCATATGCCATTCTTTGTTTTCTACTACTTATCGATATGTGTACCTTTGTAAAGTGTAAGGGACACCTTCTGCCTGTCTTTATGTGGTTTTACGTGCAAAATAATACCCGTGCCACACGGGCATAGAAAATGACATTTGGTAGCGAAGGCATTCAGTTCCCGAATGACATTTTTTTCCGTGGCGCTACTACACCTCCAAAGCGAATGACATTTCACGTGATGATGTCGATCGCAGCAACTTCCTCGTGAGCATTGGGTGAGCAGCAAGAAAAAAAATAAACAAGCGTTTACAAGCTTCATACGCATCCGATAATAATTAAAAGTATAAATAAGCATATTACGCTTCCGTTAGATTTCGTTTGTTACTTTGTTTCACGACGCTGCGACCGACCGTGTAGCAACTTAAGCCAAAGCTAGTCAGATCCGAAGCGTAAAATGTAAATGGCGCCTGGCACATTTATTTTACAGCATCTACCAGCTAAATAGAAGTTCTTAAGCAGTTGTTTAAGTGATTAGTGTAAATAAAATAAGCGAAAAGTTTCCTTCCAGACGAATCAAATGTCGTTTTATACAATTACTCCATCAGCTGTGCCGTCGAGAGTACGTATTTCTCAGTCGAATGAGTTCTGGCGATGGCATTTGGTGACGAATGGCATTTGGGCGAATGCCATTTCTTTCATCCGTGTGGCACCCCGCGAATGACCTTCAATCTGAAGGCATTAGGAGATAAATGTCATTTTTTCTGCCCGTGTGGCACGGATACAAAACAAGAAATATCGTTTGGTGTTCTCTGGAAATGTTGAGAAACTGTTTGTTGCTTAAGTGAACTATGGAGGAAAATAATAATGATTATGAACCTTTGTTCACAGGTTTAAGTAGTTAATTTGCTGCCATCAATGCTTGTGTTTAATTTCTAAATGTTCATTCGCTTTTTAATCATTGCATTTCTTATATAAAATAATTAGAATGTAAATATGTTTACTGTTTGTAGCATTGCACTTCAGACATTGTGGATGGCATTGAATTGCTCTCATGTGTGTATATATATATATATATATATATATGTTTATGTTTTCCAGATACATTACAGATTGTGTCATTTGCAACTGGTACAAAAAGCATACCCACAGAGCATGCTTCCAAACTTGGTATGTTTCTATATCAAGCGGCATTTTCATAATGGAGGGAAGAAGTGAAAATTTTACGGGCTCATTTTTATTTGTTGTACATAATATTAATGAGAACTAAGAGACAATAATGCCAAGGAAAGTACAAGAGATGCTATTAGTATTAAATGTAAATGTGAAGAAAGACAAGTGGACGAAGTGGTAACCTGCCTCGGGCAGGGACCTAAACTGCGACCTTCAAATAACGCGGCTGATGCTTTACCAACTGAGCTACCGCGGTGGCTATCCTCTTGTCCACTTTATGGGGTATGCTATACGTGCATTTAAAGATGCACGTGTCAGCGTCACCAGTAGCAATGACTGTGAGTGTGGAACACTCTTTTTTCTGCTTGTTGGCGTCACGTAGCACATGATCTTATTACAAGCTGGCAGCTGACCAATAGTCCCTTGCATACTACCTGAAAGCATCAAGTGTGCTGGTTCGAGACCTTCACTATGAATTAAGGAAAGAAATGGAAATTTGAAGTGCCCCTTTTGCACCCCCCTGCCAACCAACACTCATGCCAGGTGCTGTATAGGGCTTGTCTGACAGCATTTGAGAATACTGTTCTGTTCAGTTTAATACTTTAAAGACCGTCAGAGGGTATTACATAAGGGGTGGTTACAGGAAGAACAAATACAAAAGTGTCTTTTACAAATGTTTATACAATGCAGTAAATTTGTTATTCTAAAGTGCTGTTTGTACACCACTGAAACCTTTATTACACACTGTTAGTTTCAATATATTCCATCAGACGCTTTAGAAACAATCACAGGCAGGTGGTAGCAACAATTTCCTCGGGAAGGCTGTTCTATTCTGAGGCAGTTCGAAAAAAGAATGAAGATGAAAAAGTAGTGGTTCGTGCATGTGAACACGAGACTTAGTGCGAGTGATCTAGGCGGCTATATGTGCGTGCTGCTGGTGAAATGTAAGGTGGTTGATGTTCATGTTGCAAAATAAGCCAGAACTTGATGCAAGACGGAGAAAGAACAAAACTTGCAACATGAAAAAGACATTGAAAGGAAATAGTTTTAAGGCAACAGCCTGAAGTGCTTCATTAGGAAAAAAGTCCATGTGGGGTAAAGTAACATGTGAAATAAAAGTCGGGGTTCGATCGCTAGTTGAACTCAGGTATTCTGTGAGGGAGTTAGGTATTCCACCACAGGAGCGATGCCTGGACTGGAAATTGCTTTGTAAAAATACCTCATGCAGTCATCATGTCAGGCTAGGAGTAAAGTCAACAGATGTAATATTGCTTGGCAGTAGCATCGAATTGCACCTGCCATCGCATTGTGTGAACTGCATGAGTGGGTGGCTGAAAGCTGCCAACCTTCTACAAAGGGCTGAGCTATAATTTATCATCATCGGCTGCTTAAAGTGTGTCGCTACTTAGATGACTTCTCAAGCTCCAGTGATGATGATAGTCATGATAAAACAGCCACACCAGACGGCTTTCACCATCATGTCTAAAGCGAGTGCATTAGGGACCGTAATTTTTCTTGTTGTATATTAGTTGTATGGCTTACTAGTTAGTGCAAACAGCATTTTGATAGAATAGCCTTCATTCCGTGAGGTAAATATACCCTGTACCTTCAAGGTGTTACGAGTATATCTAAAATAGGTACAAAGTGTGCCGCCAGTGCACTGTGGTTGCTATTAACCAAACAACCTCCTCTTTGCCTTGCTGCCTCCTTTTGCTCTCAGTGGCATTAATTATAATGTGACTGTATGAAGAAGAGTACAATAATAATGTAAAAAAGATCACGGTAAACACTCACGGCAAAAAGAGAATTTACATGTCATTGCTTTACTTAATTCATGCTATGTATTCACCTTCTCCCTTGCCATGGAACATAGCTGGTAGTCATTGATTCTGGTGTGTCCTGTATATTTATTTTTTGTTGAGTGGGGTCCTTGTTCTCATGTTGAAACTCAGTGTGAAATACACTAGACTCCCTTTAAGATGGATTTGAAAGGACCACGATCGTTTGTTTGTCTTATCAAAAGTGCCCCCAAAAACCAAATGCTAACTTGCAAAGTGCACCCAAATATGTTGCTTGAAAACACTGACTGAACTATACTTACAATGGGGAAGAAAGGAACAAGAAAAACATTTATTCTTCTCAGCTTGACAAACACTATGCTTCCAAGTAGAGTATTTACACTAATTTAATGAAAACTCGATTTCACGAGTTCATAATAAATGTACTTATGAATAAATTGCTACCACATTTTAATTATAAAACTCTAGCATAAGCATATTTTGGTTTTGGGAAAAATATAAAAAGAAAAGACAAGCACAATTTTCTTCAAAGGATGAAAAATTTCTTTATCTGGCTGTTCACCTTCTCAGAGGCTCTTTTACTGGCTCTGCTATCACATTTGGATACGCCTCCGTTGCATATTGTTACCTTGACAAAGCCCATATACACCAAGTTTCTTGTGAAAGTCCGCAAGCTTTTCTTTGAGGTTCAAATATTTTCTTATTTTCATACCGTAGTAACTACGTGCAGTTGAAGATCTCCGTTTATGCTAATCACGATCATAAGCCTCGAGGTTGCAGAAAGACAAGTCGCAATTTGCTTTTCGATTTGCTTTGAGTCTTTGCGCCAGAAAGGTTTTTTTTTTTTTTTGCCTTCTCTCGTACATCTGAATGCCCCCATCAAGACTATGTTTGTTGGACAGAATCTTCAATGTTTTCGGTCGCTGTGAGCGTTTATCTTAACAGAAGAAGCCTTTTACGCGGTTAACAAAAGAAGCCTGTTAGACGAATTCCTTAAGCAGGAATTCGTCTTAACAGGAGTTTACTAGTGTGCTTGATCATCTCTTTGGTAAAAGAAAATCCTACAAAAGTTGCTAAATCTGAGGTATTGTTGATTTTCTGATGCAGCATAATGATCTGAAACATACCAGTATGTTGCATTCATGGCTTGCTTCCGAAACCTAACAGGACAGAGAGCTGGTGCAGGAGTTTTGACTACTTAAGTGCTTCGGACGAGCAGAGCTCGTCATAGCAGAGGTACTTTTCTGTAGTGTTCAGTATGAAAAATGCTTGTCTACGGCTTAAATTGCATGTCATCCACTAGATGGCAGCATTTACTCCAGCACGGTTTTTGTATGGAAAGATGGCATGCGGCGGCCACGACCCATGCTTAGTTGGGTCGTCAACAAGAAAAAGAAGCATTTAATTTTCGTCATCATCTTAGAGAGAGCACTGAGAGGGAAAGTACAGGAATTCAGAGTCTCGCTTCAGAACAGGTACTCGGCTCTTAGTGAGGAAACCAACCTTAGCATAGATACAATGAATGATAATCTGACGAGTATCATTACGGAGTGTGCAGTGGAAGTTGGAGGCAGGGTAGTTAGACAGGACCCTGGCAAGCTTTCCCAGGAAACGAAGAATCTCATTAAGAAGCATCAAATCATGAAAGTCTCAAGTACAACAGACAAAATAGAACTGGCAGAGCTTTCGAAGTTGATTAATAGGCGCAAGGTATGCGATGTAAGAAGGTATAACATAGAGAGAATTGAACACGCTCTGAAAAGCGAAGGAAGCGTCACAGCAGTGAAGTGGAAACTTGAGAAAGGAAAAAATCGGATGTATGCACTAAAGGACAAAGAAGGTAAAATATTTACCAATATGGATAGAATAGTTAAAATAGCGGAGGAGTTTTACAGAGATCTGTACAGTAGCTAGGACAACCATGACCTTAGTAAAAAGCTTTGGAGAGCATGCAAAGAGGCAAAGCTACTGGTGAGGATCAGTTAACATCAGATCTGCTGAAAGATGGAGGACAGATTGTGTCAGAAATACTAGCCACCCTGTTTACGAGGTGTCTCCTGACGGGAAGAGTACCAAAGTCTTGGAAGAACGCTAACATCATCTTAATACATGAGAAAGGAGATGACAAGGACTTGAAGAAGTACAGACTGATCAGCTTGCTCTCTGTAGTATACAAGCTATCTACAAAGGTAATTGCTAATAGAGTAAAGAAAACATTAGAATTCAATCAACCAAAGGAACAAGCAGGATTTCGAACAGGCTACTCAACAATCGACCACATCATACTATCAATCAGGAAATAGAGAAATGCTCAGAATATAACCAACCACTATACATAGCCTTCATTGATTACGAGAAGGCGTTTGATTCAGTATAAATATCAGCCGTCATGAAGACACTGTGGAATCAGGGCGTCGATGAAATATATATAAACATCCCGGAAGAAATCTACAGGGGATCAACTGCTATCATAGTCCTTCATAAAGAAAGCAACAAAATACCAATGAAGAAGGGTGTAAGGCAGGGGGACACAATCTCCCCAACGCTATTTACCGCATGCTTACAGGAGGTTTTCAGAAGCCTAGATTGGGAAAAGTTAGGGATAACAGTTAATGGAGAGTACCTTAGTAACCATCACTTCGCCGGTGACATTGCATTGCTGAGTAACTCAGGGGATGAATTGCAACTCATGGTTACGGAGTTAGACAAGGAGAGCAGAAAGGTGGGTCTTAAAATTAATCTGCAGAAAATGAAAGTAAAGTACGACAACCTCGGAAAAGAGCAGCGCTTCGAGATAGGTAATAGTGCACTTCAAGTTGTAGAAGACTATGCCTACTTAGGGCAGGTAATAACCGCGGAGCCGAACCACGAGATGGAAGTAACTAGAAGAATAAGAATGGGGTGGAGCACATTTGGCAAGCACTCTCAAATTATGACAGCTAGATTGCCACTATACCTTAAGAGGAAGGTATATAACAGCTCTATCTTGCCGGTACTTAGCTCTGGAGCAGAAACCTGGAGACTTACAGAGGGTTCAGCTTAAGTTGAGGGGGACACAGCGAGCAATGGAAAGAAAAATGGTAGATGTAACCTTAAGAGACAAGAAGAGAGCAGAGTCAATTAGGGAACAAACGGGGGTTAAAGTTAAAATCAAGAAGAGGAAATGGACATGGGCCGGGCATGTAGCGCGTAGACAGGATAACCGCTGGTCATTAAGGGTAACTAACTGGATTCCCAGAGAAGGCAAGCGGGTTAGGGGGAGACAGAAGATTGGGTGGGCAGATGAGATTAAGAAGTTTGCGGGTATAAATTCGCAGCAGCAAGCACAGGACCGGGTTAACTGGTGGAACATGGGAGAGGCCTTTGTCCTGCAGTGGAGGTAGTCAGGCTGGTGATGATGATGATGATGATCATCATCATCATCTTAGAGTGTTGATTGTTTGGATAGAGATGTTTATCTTGTGTCCCGAAGTGAAGACAGTGATGACGGTGAATTGTGCAGCTGTTTTCGGTTGCAGTGCGAAAACGATGAAGACGAAAAACAGGAGGGGCTCAAACAAGCGCTGTTGTGTTCATCCGTTCTGTCTTCATTGTTTTAGCACTGTAATTAAATATGCACCCATACCAACTCTCCTAACTTTCAATACCATTGAGCAGCTCCACCTGTGATGATGAAGACAGCTCGGAAGCGAACATCACAAATACTTGCCAGTAAAGCCGTTTTGCGTTATTCCTCGTTTTGAAATTTTCGACACAGTCCCAAATCTTCCTGAGGAAAATAGCCCATGGAGGCTTAGCCTACAAGAAATATGGGGCGTGTGCAACTGCTTTGTTTATAAGATTTGTATTTTATTAGCAGCATATCGCTGGTTTCAAATGTATTGTTGAAAAGTAAATATTATTGTGGTGGATTTGACTAAGTGCGTGGTGCAAAATTTTTTTCAACACTGACTGCCTGCTTTTTTGTGCAGCCAGATTCGAAATCAGCAAAAGAAAAAAAAAGACAGGTTTGGTCAAGAAACTTTGAAAACAAATTGAGCACTTAAGGGGTTAACGTGTTGCCTCCAGCTCTTTGCTCCCACTTGTTTTATGTCATTTTCTTTTAAGCCAAAGCTTCTCACTAAGTATCGGAGAAATATTGAGAAGACCAGTCTGCCCATAATGCTCACTCTTGTGTTTCTATAATGACCTTGGTAAGACAAATCATTTAACGATATCTGAAGCTATCAAAAGGAAGTCCATGACCTAGAGGAAGTTTAAAACTGTTAAGTAATCTTTAATTCAGCTAAAATTCCATTTCATTGAAAGCAGGGTTTATTTCCATGAGATAAATTTGCTTTCGAATTTTTCATTATAGGCAGCCAGATAATCGACAGTCATGCGGAAGTGTTAGCCCGGAGGTGCTTTCTCAGGTATGTCTGTGAAAAAAATAACAGAAGAAGAGCAGTACATTTAACTACTTATAGCATTAGCCTTTTGTTTCCTCAGGTGTGTGTAAGCCAAACGGTATTATGTACTCCAGTATAGCTATATGCCTCGAATAAATAAATGAAGGAAAGATGCACACGTGAACTAACTGTGTATGGAACCAAGTTAGGGAAGCCACATGCCAGGGAAGAGCATTGCATGATTTTCGTGACCTGTACTTGTCATTCTGTAGGTTTGTGTACTCTGAACTTCTGAAGTTGGCTCGTGGGGAAGATTCATCTGTTTTCGAAACTACAGACTCATCTGTATTTGAATGTCGATTGAAACCAGGATTGAAGATTCACCTCTTCTCAAGTCATACTCCATGTGAGCAGTTTTTTTTTTTTTAAGTTTGTGCAGCACATTGATAACATATAGCAAAATGATTCATGCTATAGGAAAGCTGCATTGACCGGAGTGCTTTTGTCATCGTAATGATAACTTAAATTCATTGTTTTTATTTTCCCATTTGGCCTCATTGTTTTTAGGTGGTGATGCTTCCATTTTTCCAAAAAGTGGAGATGAATCATCTGCAGACACAGTTGAAAATGTAGAATATGGTGAAACAGCTTCAAAACGACCCAGATTGGACCCTGATATATATAGGTGAGGAGCAGTTGTGAGTGTGTGTGTGGATGTTAGAAGGCGAGGATGGTTGTGTGTATTGCAGAGTGAATGCATCTAAGTTAATGTGGAGCAAAAAGACAATCTCAATTCAGTTTTATTTAGCTGATATATAAAAATTAGGCTAGTGCAAATAGCAAATTTTAGGTTCGAAGTTTAGGTTTTAGTGATTTTGGTTGAATAATTTCTAATCGAATTAGAATAGAATATATGACATATAAAGAAAAATGGGTATGTTTATCATGACCTAACTAACCTGCACAATATTTTTTTAAAAGAAGTTCTCTAAGCTTTTATTTTTCCATTCAAAGGAAGTCGAAACAACTTTGAAAAGTAGCAGGATTTAACTTTCAGTAGGATGCAAGTGATAATCTGTAAAGTACGTAACATCATTCATTACAGCTAGAGTGTACAAGCCGGCAAAACAAGCTTTTAAGCTTAAAAAATGGTCAATCGATTTGAAGATAATATGTTCATTTAAAGGGACCCTGCAATAGTTTTTCAAGAAAAGGATTCACTGAAGAAGCTTATTGCCTTATGAATTAACCGCCACAAATTTTTTTAGAATCTGTCCAGTATGAGTGGAGTTGCAAAGATTTGCCACGTGCTGCAATTGCATTCTCTCTTCTCTTCTCGACGAAAGCACTTGAAGCAAACAAAGCGGGGAGAGATAGCATAGAGAAAGAAATACATCGGGTGTCGTGAGCTTGAGCACTCTTTTTCTTTGAGTATGCGGCTTTTCAGTGCGATCCCGCATGCACGCGTGAACATGTCGCGGTCACCCGCAGCAGCCTCAGTAACGACCGAGCACCCCATGCTCAGATAAGCCAATGATTGGTAGAATGGCTTTGACGAGCGATTTTTACATTGTAGCATCATTTGCCGAGAGAAGGGGGCAATTTTTATCTGACTGAGAATTTATTGCGAATTGCAGGTCGCGTGCTGCGCTATAATATTTAGCTCACGTGTTCTTGGTAGCCACGACTATTGATTGGCACCGTTTGCTGACCATGTTTAAGAAGTGTTGCAGAGCCTTTTTAAATTTGAAGTGGGGCTTCGTGGCAGAGCAAGTTTCCTCTGGATAGGTGCTTTCACAGCTTATCACCGATATACTGCAGTGAAACCGTCTTTACAAGTGGTTACATACGGTTTAGTGTACATCAATTCGTTCATGTCAAATACTTCAAAATATTCTATAATTTAAATTTGAGTTGAAGCGAATTCGAATACTCAAGTACTTGTTCAAATATTTGAAATATTCGAATATTCGCACAAGCCTAATAAAGATAATATTGTTTGTACAGGTTAGTACAAGCAGTTTCCACATTTCAGGATTTTAGCCCTTTGCATTTTTATTTGGCGTGGACAGCCCAAGGCACTAGCTTTGTGAACATAGTACTTCACAATGGCAAGGCATCTGACAGCTTTTCTTTTTGTTAAAAGTTATTGCATTTGTTTCTTATGTTGAACGGCAAAACCATCTTTCTGTTTTTTTTTTTTTTTTTTTTTTCAGTCCATGAATGATGAAAGTGTTTTCAATATAGCCATTGGCATCTCCAGGGAAAGGGGGTGTTGAAACCCGCTTCCCCCGACATTGAACGTTTTCAATTTTGTATGTGTATATGTGCATGCACATAAACCGGGTGTCCCAGCTATCTTTAGCCAGGGTTGAAAAACATGCTGATGCCCTCTATTCCTTTGTTGTAGAGCCAGTATTGAGAAATTGCATAATAGAAAAGGATGATCACTTAGGAACTATGGTATAGCCTGCCCATTGTAAACGTACACACCAAAAATTATTTTCATCATTAGTATCAACAATCTTCTATCACACAAGGAGTTGCATGTTTGCCCACATAGTTGCACAAGTTCCATCACAGTGGCATAGTATCACACCTGCTGTTACACCATTCTACTTGAGTAGCATGTGGGTACTTTCACACTGCTAACCCATTACTAGTGATTCAGCCTCAATAATCAACAGCAGCCTTCAGTCACGTGAGTAGTCACATTTGATATATATGTTGGTGCACATGTTGTGTTGCATTGCATAGCATTGTATCAGGTGGCGTTCTGTGTGGATTCCATAATGTCTGGGTGCCTTAAAGCTGCCAACCCTTTGAAATAGTGTCAGCCATGGTCTATTACTGTCATAGTCATAACCGAAGCAGCCTTCTCTAGCATGTGTAGAGTTACATTCGCATCTATCTCGGTACACATATTGTGTTGCAGCTGCTTAGTATTGCACCAGATCTGTCGCCATGGATATTGCCTGACATTTGAGATCTTTAAAGCTGCCTACTCATTACAAAGAGTTTTGCCATCATCATTAACATCTTAATCATTGACGTATCGTTATAGAACCTCCTACTCTTACGTGATCTGAACTGTCATGGTCTTTTTTTTTGTTTTTTTTTTTTTGGTAATGTTGATTTTGATGAGAAAAGTTCACATATGAATTTGAAACATAAGAATGCTAAGCTGATGTAAGGGTGGCATGTGCAGCAGTACCTTTGAGTGACTCCTTTCACATTTAATGGCTCAAGTAGGAGCATTACTTGTCCATGCAGGACTGGTGCCAAGTGTGTGCCAGGTGTGGCCCAGGACAAGAAACTGCCTGGTGCAGACTACCACCAACTGGGTGTGACTCGAACCAAGCCTGGCAGGGGTGATAAATCTCTCTCCATGTCATGTAGTGATAAAATGGCCAAATGGCGTTGCTGTGGCCTTGAGGGGGCACTGCTATCCCATTTTATGGCAAGCAATAAACCGCTGCGTCTGTCCTCTGTGATTGTTGCAGGGTGCGTAAGCTATCAGCTTTTTCTCTGCTACATTTATCTGGAAAATAGTTCTTTTGTTTTGTGAAAGTTTTAGGTGCTGCAGTGTTTATAAGCATGAAAAACGCGTGTTTCAAACAACAGCACTTCATATTCTGATAGAAATTTTTACATTTTAGTTCAGTATAACATGTAGGTAGATTTTTTGGATCCCAGCACTGAAGCCTTAGTCATGTTGATGTTGTATCATAGGAAGCACTGTGCAAAAGACAAAAAAAAGATGTAAACAAGACAAGTGCAGCAGGTGTTCCCCCAAATTTAGCCTCTGTCATACACTACAAAAATGGTCAAGTTCTCATTTCAATGCACGGCACCTGGCTGCCTTTTGTGCGGGGACTTCGACTTTTTAGTGCAGGCCAGTTTAGTCAGGAAAGAGTCCTAGTTGAACTTGACCCATAGTTCTTGTTAACAAGTTCTGAAAAATGTAAGTCAGCTAAATGCAATGTTGTACTTTTTGGTTCATGCTTGACAGCTATTATTGGTACCAATATTATTTTTCTGGTGAACGCTTTTTAGTGCTTTTGCATCTGATGTTCAGTATGCATTTGGACATTGGTTTTTCTTAGGTGTCCGTACAGTGAAGATGCAATGCGACGAGCACTTGATGAGAGGCTGTCAGTTTCAGATGAGGTTCCAGCCCTTGAGTTTCACTACAGTATGAAGATGTTTTGCCATTCCCGCCTTAAGGCAGTTAAAAACAATGCCGATACTGCCATTCCATGTGCTTCAAGTGAGTCTTTGTTCTCGGATGATCTCATTATTTTCACTTTTACATCAACATGTTTGTATGATTCACATGATCAGTTTATTTAGCAGGGTTTAAATATTTTAGCAGTCTTCACAAAGTTTTTAAATATCTGAGTGGCACCCTCTTGTGTGTGTGACATCGGCAAAGAGGTTTTGCAGCTGCCTGGTGCATGGGCTTGCTATCAAGGCAGTTCAATGTTGTTGGCCTGCTTGTTCTTATGAAGGTATTGAAATACTATTTAGCACATTCCTAAAACATGTATAAAAAGTTCCAGAGCACTATTACCTGTGAAATCATGGACAGCCATTGTCAGGGATATGCTTGGTGCACTTAATTTGTCTAGTTCCTGGTGTTGTCTGCTAGTTGTCTGCTTTTTTCTACATGTACTTTAATTTGATATTTTATTAATTTATGGTCATTTGAAAGTGTATTGAGCAGAAATAGTGTAATAATACAAGCCTATACAAAAATGAAGTTCTCGTATTGGAAAGTTGTAATGAGATTTATTTGTAACAAAATACTAGTGTAAAGCATACTTTACTAATAAAAAACATCCTAGGGGGTAGTGGAATTATTATTGGAGATAAACAGCCTGTCAGCAATATTGTTAAATTTTTATGTCAGCAAGAGTTTTATATACAGAGTGTGTCAATGAAATTATTAGTAGAATGTCTCACAACAGTTAAACTTCAATGTAATTGAATTGAACTTATGATGTTCCCTCTTTAACGATGAAATCTCCATTTCCTGGCAGATACCCATAGATTTTGATGTTGTCATTATCTCGATCCAACGAAACTAACGAGGCTCCAAGCCTAATTTAACAAAGTTTCAAATGTTTAAGAATTTTTATGCCAACTCAATGAGAAAACTGTCTGTCTGTCACATAAAAAAATTGCCACTATAAAGAAATAGAAATAAGTTTTTATTCTGGTGCTTGGGTTCTGGTGCTTGGGTATTCCGGTGCTTGGGTGCTTGGATCCTCACACTCCGACACAGAGTATCTTGACCACTTTGCTATCCGATGATGCTTGCAGAGTGTGAAGATGCATGATCCACATGAATGCATTGTCCCCGTAGTTTAAAACAAAAATAGCAAGACTGCACACTTTCTGGAGGTCTCACTGATTTTCATAATACTGAAATAGAAGTCCTCTGCAGGACAGGGTGTCAAGCTTACAGCAAGAACTCCAAAAGTCAGGAAAATTCGAACTTCGTAAAATTTCGGTGCCTAACACTCATTTCAGTGGTCATGGAATGCACATCAAATGCTGTCTCATGGCACGTATGTGAGTGCTGAGGAGAAGAATTGCTGACAAATATTAGAGGGAAGATGAAAGACACCATGCCAATGCTGCTCGAAAGTGGTGTTCCAACAATGGTTACTGCCACGGTATTATAGGAAGGAGAGGTGACTCAACGTGGCGGGCGAGCGCGGCGAAACTTGCTTCGGCGCGAACGTGTGCGCTCGTAGGTGGCGCTGCACGAACAGGGGCCATGTACTGCGGGTCTTCAGTTGCCACAGGCATGAAAGGCACCTCGCACTGTTCAGTATACAGCGTGCGCTTGGATTTCGGTGGCATGAATTTAGGGTCGCTTCAAACGAAAATACCGTTTTGAAAGAACCGAAATTCTTAAGAACGTCTCGAGTTGGTATGTGAATTTTAAGGCCGAAGTGCATGTACGCTATTTGGAACGCGACAGTAACTGTAGCTTCAACAATTCTTCGCGAAGACGCAACCACCTATGCGAGTAATTTAAACAGCAATAGGGGCAATTAAATGTTGCGGTGCACCAGTGCTATCCTCCACGGTCACGGTGACTTCGGCATACGAAGGAAATTTGAATTTCGCTGAACTCGGGCACACACATGATGCAGATATCTACTTCAGTTTTGCGTTGTTACTTTTGTTTAACTTGTTTTTACAGTTATTCATGCCTAATAAGCTTGTTCGCACATATACATGCTTATCGCACTGTTTTACAGAAAAATGTACCCAACAAGAAACATTGAGGAAATCACACACATTCAAACACCAAGCCAAATACTCTGTTTAGGACGATTGTGCTGTCACAAGTTTTGACAGTTTTATGAGCTTGTGTCTTGTTTTCCATTTCTTTTCACTGCTTACAATACTGCCTCATCCGAAGGCCCACATAATAATGCAATATTTTAGCAATTACTTCATCTTTGTGGGTGATGCAAGGAAATAAGAGCCAGTTGTTATCTAATATATGACCAAAGGTCAGCTTGTAAGCATTCCTTTGCGTGCAATTTCTTTGAAACTCTACTTCTACTGCGCGAAGTAAGACAAATATGTTAGTTGTGAAATGAATGAGCTTTCCAAGAGTCTTATAGTTTACGAGGGCTGCTTCAGGCATCTGCGAGTGAGCAACAGGTCTCGTAAGGCCAAGTTTGCACGTTTCCCACGTTGTGCTGTTCAGCAACTTCCGGCGCACAAACCCTGTAACATAGTAAACTATGTAGTCCACAACTTCAGCAAAGGCATAGGAGTGGTCATAAATAGCTTCCCACTATAGCTCCTCACTAACATACCCATGAAGTCTCTTCTTAAGTTCTTGAAGCTTGCTTTCTCCTGGATACTCATCTATAAAGGCTGTAGTGAGCTCTGCTAGTGTTAAGCATGGAGCCTCTTGCTCAAGCTCAGTTTAACAGTTGCCGAACTTGGGTGGTTTAAGCAGACTATACACACTGAGCATACTGTAGAACTGTAAAAAGGTCGTCATCGTGGGGTGCTCATTTTGGCCTCCGGTTTGCCGAATGATGCCAAAAAATCTTTCAAGGACATCTTGATTCATTTTGCCGGTAAGCACATATGTAAAACCGCACTCATTTAGCTGGTAGTTCGAAAGACCTTGAGCAGACATGATTGTCACGCGAAATCCATCAGCTGTCGACTGTGTCAGGAAACTAGTGTTAGGCATTTTGCCATCAGCAACCATTTGCTCCCACTCATTCAGCCACTTCAATGACGATTCCAGGATACTGAAGTCCTTGCAGCCACGCTTAAGACCTTCCTTTGGCACCTGCCTGTTCAATGCGTCAAACAGGCTGTTCATGCGCTGAGTGAAGTCCACTGTTGCTGTGACATCATGTAGGCCTGGGACAGCCCTATTTGAGTAAAACTCTAAACCCTTAGCAACGCTGCAGCTGAACAGCTGTGTAGCCAACTTCACTCTCATTTTCAAAGTGTTCGTCGGGTTGACATGAGCATACGTCAGTTTAGGGCACACCTTCAAGTAGGCTGGGTTTTTCTCATCTTCAATAATAAGGTGTCATAATGTGCCCAATGCACTTTCTCTTTGTGAGTGGTCAACACCTTCTGGGCGTGAAGGCGATTCCTGGCACACTTAATTAAGTGTGGAGCATCTGAAAAAACGTATTCCCTTCTTTTTTCATCAAACGGGTGCTCAAACGATTTCCTAGGGTTTTCTAGAGAACGCTCATTTCCAAGTGCTTCCACATAGATCTGTTCGTAGTTGCGCCATCAGAAACAATAGCATCAACATGTGCACCCGATTCTTCTAGGAGAGTTACGGCTTTCAGGACAAGCTGAGCAAGCACGGTTGCTTTTGTGGGTCCCTTGCTTGCAAAAACTGCGATTGGTTGCGAGAACTTATCTACGAATGAACGAAGCGTAAAAACAAGTCCGTGGTTGGCAAGTTCCTCACCATCCGGTTAGTTGTTGCTGAAGTCTGAAAACCCAGTGTATGTCATTGCCTTTGAGTTCCACGCATCTTTTTTCGCACCTGTATCTCATCAAAGACTAACACACTGTGTTGCTGGAATGTGTCCTTAGACAACAGTTTCTTTTTGAACGCTGCAAGGAAGCTGGCGTCAAACCCACACTTCACACGGATGGCTGACAAGTACTTTCGCACGGTGGAAACGCACGGCAATGGTAGGATGTCATTGTTCCTTAAAAAGGCGTACGTAGATGGACTCCGAATATGCAAAAGCAGGCATAACAAAAGCCAACTCTCCGTGTATCGGTGGTTTTTCTTGCCTGTTGCCTTAGCAGCTGCGTCCCCGCAGGGGTGCCTGCGCAAGTAGGCGTTTGGTGTGTAGCGACACCACGGACCCGAGCTAACGGGGGAGTTTTGACTCCCTCCCACGCCTAGCCGTGCATGGCTTTGCCGTGTCCGGGGAAAAGGGGATCCTGGGGGTTGAGCCGACGCTGGGTGATTGGACCTTTAAGGCCCCCCGGCAGAGGCAACACACCCCTTTGGCCCCAGCTTCACGTAGACGGCACCCCTGGGCTGACCCACCCAGGGGAAATCGGCAGTCGCCTTTTCCTATCTCTCTCTCCCTACATCTTCGTCTTTATCTCTTTCTATTTATCTATCCTGTCTTCTACTCTCTTCCGTTTACTTCTGTTTTTCCTGGCGGCAAGGGTTAACCTTGTGTGGCTATCAAAACTAGGGTAAACCATATTGGGTTATAGTAACTGCGTACTGCTGGCGTTGCGCAGACATGCCCACATGCTCTGCCACGTCCCCTTGTTGGACTCCGTGGTGGGTGGTAGGCGCCGTTACCGAAAAATCCACATTTTTCCATGGGATCCTCGACCCCCTCTCTAACGAGAAACTTTCCCAAAATACCATGTCTTCCACTGCGAACAATCATCTACAAAAGCTAGAGCAATCTGACCCTTCCTTGTTGCCAAGTGCTTGAGAGAGACCATTGGAACCAGTTATAAGGCCACGAAGATGGCAAGTGGAGATCTGCTTCTTGAATTAAAAGACAAAGAGCAGTACAATAAACTCTCGCACTTTGTAGCCTTTGGTAACATCCCCGTCTCTGTGAGCGCACATCGTACCATGAATACAGTGAAGGGCGTGGTAACGGACGAAGATTTGATGACACTGAGTGAAGAAGAGCTCTTTGATGGATAGAAGGACCAAGGTGTAATACATGTCCAGCGCATCAAAATCAGACGTAACAACAACGAAATAGCAAC